TACAATGTGTTTATAATTATAAAGTGGTGTGAAGAAAAAAGAGTTCTAAGATTGAAAGGTTGTGTGTAGAGCGTTTTATTAAAAATGTTATCATCTTACAAACAGTTTTTTTTTATAAAAGTCTATGAAGATAATTTTGGCAGTGCGGTAAAACTGTCACTTTACACTCGTCTGTGCGTAAAATGCTCAGGCGACTGTAAATACAGTCTTTCAATAGGTGTCAATTGTACGTTAATTTGACATTTACATGTCAGGAGGCCAAAAATTAAATTACCCAGTCACTTAATTTTTCAACGAGCGCATCTGCGCCTAAACAGTAAATATGAACATCAAAAGAGCTTAACGCAGACCCAATTTCAAATTTAGAATTGACAAAGAAGATGCAAAAATGCGTAATATTAGTAGGTGACGTCAATGATGATGCACTTAAGACTCCTCATTGTTGAGATGAGATTGCTAACGATTTTTAAAATAGAAGGAATCAAACAGCTGTTTCCGTAGCTAATTTCGATAGAAAACGATCTTTTGAAAAGTTTTTATTCCGGGAATCCATTAGTGTCTTTAAAATGGCCTGACTTGATAACAAATGAATTGCTCGAGAGAAGAAGACCAGTGATATATCACTACCTCCAAAGAGGTTTTTCTAACACATCGCGATAATGGAAATGAAACTTTTCCGAAACTAGCGTCAAATGTGAACTTTCAGGATTGATAGGTTAGGATTAACTCGTTTTTTCTTGATAGTATAGCTTTTTTATACCGGCTGTTGGGCCAAACGGCCAAAGCTATGGCTTTCAATAACACAAAGCTTCCGAACTTTTCGCTCGCAGAATATTTTATTTTACTTAAGGGTCATCAGAATAAAGTGCGTTCTGAATGAGTGCTCTATAGACATACCACTTTATCACAATTCTTATCGGGTTAGCGATAAACTGGCGTGCTTAAAATTCACAAAAATGAAAGTTAATTTGCCTTGGCTAGTGTAAAGTGGATTATATTCCTGATACAAATTTGGCTCCACTGTTTTAAAATTAACTCTGCGATAAATAAACAAAGATGTGTTTAATCTTGTTCACTGACCACGGAAGTTATTGCGGAAATGTCTTTTGATCTACCCGTCAGGAAAGTGACAGTGCTTCTGACATTTTCTTGTTTATCTTAGAAATTTCAAAAGCTTTTGCCAATATAGATCATGTAAAGTAGACAACGAATTTTCTAACTTACGATCAATATCCCGGAAAAAAATGGGCAAATGGCCATTAAATTTTTCTCACGGTAAAAGTCTAATTAATGAACAAAAACAAGATTTTTTATTTTCAAAACCAAACCGTAGAAAGATTCATTTACTTTTAATTGTTTGTATACATTCGAGAGTGTCAAGGAAATGACGACTGAAAGATATCAGTAACAAGAGAACTTTTACAACTTACAATTTTCGAAAGAGTTACATAGTGCAGAAAATCTTGTTTGTGAAAAATTACGTAACGCATCTTATTGACACACAAAATCGCATTCAACACTGAAAAAAAATCTTATTCTAAGGCGTAGTTTCACCGATTTGTCACTTGGACCAAACAATACAAAACATGTATTTTAAAATCTTTAAATTTTTATTTTTGTCTCTACTTTCTTTATATTTTGAACTCAAAGAACAATTTCGCTGTACTTTTTTTTAACAATAAACCATTCAAAGTTTTTAAAAGTTTTAATTTTATTATTTACTGACTTCTGAGAACAAAAAACTTTCAAAACCAGACTTTATTTTTGGTAATAAACAAAATAATCAATATCGCTCTTGCGAAAAAAGCTTTCAGTGCATTTGTTAACTTTGTCAAGCTAACAATGTAAGTGAGAACTAATTAGTTGCTGGTTGACAAAGCAGTGTTTACGGAAGGAAGCTCGATATCGGATGTAAATTTGGATTACGTCACCCGGAATCAAGACTCTCTCTACCATATTGTTTCAGCTTGAATTAAACCTGCAAATAAAACTATTGTTGGCGGCACTTAAAAATCTCAAAACAAGTCGTAATTTTTACAGTGCATCGTAAAGACTCAATTTATTTTCATTTTCGTAATCCGAAGCAATTTGCAGACGTCCCGCATTTTTTGGCCAAGACTCTTCAATAATTCATTATTGAGACATTTCTGACAACGACGAGACAATTAGCTTGTTTCTCTGTCCTATCAATCGTTCCGAAATTTGCGTAATCAACTTCTAATTTTACGCTGACAAGTTTGTATTTAGAACAATTTTGCAAATGGCCGTTGAACCCCGTCTCACTTTCAAAAACGGGACATTGAGACACGATGAGCAAAAATAGAGAACACAATCCTGGTAACTGCTGAGTCCTCCAGGACAAATTCGGAGGCTGTCACGAGGAAAATTAGGGTCGTGGAAATGTACGAATTATTAATTTGCTAAGTTCGGTAGTTTGCTGATTGTTTAAGGAATGTCAGAGGTTGAACGGATGGAATGCATTGGAACAATTAAGGTAAAAGCGTTTTGCAATGTGCATAATTCTGTCGAGTGCAGCGAAACTTTGCCTATATGACGGAAGTTTTAGCAATGAAAATGCCAACTGAAGTGATTAATTCGCTGCAGTTAACGTGTGCGTTACAGAAATATGTTTAACTTTCAGAGAAGACAGGTTTTTATGTTTCTATTTAATTTTATATTAAACTATGTGTAATTGTAAATACGAAAAGTTATTTAAAAATTTCTGAAACGTCTCTTACAAATCCTTATATTTTTGTTGTAAATCTTCCACCAAATTACTATGCAAAAATGAGCTACAGTAAACAATAAATTAGGTTTAGGATTAACCTATAAAAATTAGATTCTTTTAATAATACATTTTCAACGCAATATTTGCAATTTTGAAAGCCGCCTTGATGACAAAATACGCAATTATGTTATAGAAAGTTTAAATATGAACAAATGAGAGTTAAATTTTTAATTTCAATTAAAAAATCGTGCTTTAGCAAGATGTAGCATTTTATTCCTTTAATCTCCTGTATTTGTTTACAAAGAAACCAGTGGTTTTACAAATTTGATTTATACTCGCTGCTTTATAATCAGGCAGCATAAAAATTCTTTTTGAAGTGTAAACAATTTCAGAAAATAAAAAGTAAAAAAATTAACCCAAAGCAATAAATACATACATCCACAAAACATAAACCTAAAAAATATAACGCACTCAAGAAAGAGCTTCAATTTTATTTTAACAGTTTTTCGTTTTACAAATCACGTTTTAGAAGATCAATAAACTCCAATAACTATTTTTGAATACGTTGGAGGTGAAGGATTACCTTTCAAAAATGAATGTTTGCTTTCAACACCTGCTTGTTATTTGATTAAATTTTTATTACAAATCCCACAATCCACACTTTACTTAAAACTTTACATCCACAAATAAATTATTAACAAGTTCTGAAAGCTCAAATAAACACTCACACGTTTGCCACAAAGTGCTACAAATTGAAGTTGTTTGTCGCCAAGTTAATTTTATTAATTGGAAAAAGACGTCCGAAGTGGCTTCACTGTAAATTACGAGTGACCAATAATTTTCTTAAAGCTCGAATTGTGACATCTTTAATGGAAAAACAAACAGGATGTGTACTTTTCCTGCCACCTCTCAGAACCATAACATACGATAGTGAAATTAAATTTGAATATTCCAAAACCTTTATAAACACTAACTCCACGTATATTATGCAAAACCATTTCTGTTCAACATCATAGCAATAAAAAATAAACTTAATTTAATGTATGTTATTAGACATGAAGCAAATGGACGCGAATCTGTTACGTCTTCAAACAAACAAAGTAAGAGTTTCAACGAGGATCTAATTCCCCTCTGATTGATTCGTTCGCACAACAATCGAAATTAGAAGAAATCCCATTTGATTGGCACTGTTTACATAAAAGACAAAAATCCGCTTTTTTCAGAAGTGTGCACTTGAACTAAATTTACCCGAGATATTTTAAACTATGTCGAGTCATCTGTTAATTTAATTAAGCGCGACCTTTGACAAAAACATCATTTCCGTCCTTAGAAAAGTCATGCGTTGGTTGAAATTAATCAATCTCAGGCGCTTTGACAGCCTAGCACAAAACTCTTACCTTTCTTCGGTTTATCACTCGTTATGTCACTCAATCGGTCGCTGAGCAAGTCTTGAGTAAGCGTATCTTGTTCGTCCTGATCAAAATTTTCGTTCTCAGGAGCGGTAATCGACAGTTTATGGCACACTTCGAACGCTTGACCTATTGTCCTCACCACGCGCATAGCTTGGCTCTGCAACAAGGAAAAAGACATTAACCACCGACACAAACTGCAATTTTAAATTTAGATCCAGGTGCAAAAAAGCGATACCTCCAAATCAGAGTCTTCAAAACTGGGGCTTCGATGCAAGATCCCATTGCAATAACTGGAACTTCTCTTAAGTCCTACTACTTCCAAATGAGTTTTCTGTTGCTCATGGCGACCCACAATTTCAGGCTCCCGAAACGAAAGCTTTTTTCGAGGCCTTTCCAGGGCCAAAGCTGCTGTTTCTCTTCCTTCACTCACTTTATCAACACAAACTGTAGCCGGTCTTGATCTTTTAATTGTTTCTTTTTCTTCATCAGAGTCTTGAGTGATCTCGATTTTGATCGGATAAGCACCAACCGAATTCTGCTTCTGGAGATTCCGTTTAGTGTGAATGTTAGTGTTGGCATAAACATGGTTTTTCTCTTTAGGACAATGCTTGAAAATGTAGTCGATGGTAGCTTGAGTCACTGTCTTCTTATGTTGGTCTCCATCTATTTTATGAGTCTTCAAAGTCTCACCCAAGTTAAATAACTTGTTCCTTGCTTTGGTTAGCATATCCTGCTTCTTCTTGACAACTACTTCTGGATCCGGCATGTCCAGACTGGAATGGCGTACTTTGACCAGTTGTGACTTCTTACTCATCCTTTCGAGACGTTTTAGGGCACGTTAAACGCTGATCTGTTCTCGGTGAGTTCTTCATTATTTTGAAGAACGTAAAGTTGCGAGAAAATTTCATGTTATTAAAACACAACAAACGTCGCGAATTATTTAAGTCAAGCGATGCTTCAGGTGGCCCGCCGCTAACAAACTGATTAGGATGGAGTTGGCAAGTAGCGTCGCGACGCTCGGCCTCGCAAATATACACCTAGACCGCTGTACTTGATTTTGTGAGCGTATTTATATCTATTGCATTTCACCGAATTTGAATTGACGCTTCGATAACTGGCGATAGCTGAACGAAATATGTGTGATGATGTGTGAAACTCGGACTGTTAAGAACCATTTCGAAGACGGTTTTATACAGGTTTCGACTTTTTTTAGATTTCATTCCACGAATAGTGTGTTGATTGTTTGCCACAAATAGCTGACAATTAATGGCTTCTAAAATGGTTGTTAACAATTAACGCTCTAACTGTGTGAGGAAAATACCGGCGTAGAACTTAGAAACTAGACCACGAAATTTTGTTTCTGAATCGCTCAAAAATTTGTCTTCCATATATAAATTGAATAAAAAAATGATTTTCAAGCTTTGAAATAATAGCCGTCTAGTTGGTGGTGCAAACTGATCGCCTTGGCTAAGAAATTCGCCAAAATTTTCCTGTAGGCTTGATATTTTTGGCACAACAAAATAAACACAAAAACTTTTAGTGGTTATTGATCCCACAGTACGGGTTCAGTGGGTCAGGTCGGGATTGGTTTGTCACATTTTTTAGCACTTGTTATGTTGGGAAATTTTTAGACAAAGCTACAACCCAAATTTTCTATTATTGGGACCAGCACGTTGTGAGGTATATTTATCTATTCTAAAATACATTAAACTAATTTATGTCAACATTAAAAAAATGTATGAAACGGTTGGTAAAAGTTTCTCAAGTAGAAAAATTCCGACGATAGAATATTTTGTTAATTTTGAAAAATGAGTATGTTTAGTATTTCTGGATATGTGTTAGAACCTAGACTTTCCTGCCAACGTGCCAGTCCAATCGTAGAAACACAGAATCTGTCACGAAACTTAAATAATTAAGAAGTTTTCGACTCGATTCTTTTTGATCCAAGATACTTGAAATAGTTTCAAAGTTCGCCTTGTTAAATTTAATTAAAGTTATGTAAAGTGTTTATTAAAGCATTTCCTATCATCATTTTTCGTTCGCCGGTAGCAATTTTCTAAACTAAGAAAACCGTCAATCAAATCCGTCTTATCAACAAACCAATTTCTCTAGAAAATATTGTGTACAAAAAGGCCCACAATTGCCGCATCATTTATAATCTGATTTATATTTTCCTTGACGCTTTTTAAAAAACAACACGCACAATAAAAAAGTCACTAAATTAGTTATTCTTGCCAATAGAATCCCACGACGAATCCAAAAAAAAACCGCAAGCACTTTGTTGAATCTTCGAAAAACCGCTAGAATTGCACTTGATTTCGGCTAACCACAACATAACATCATTTATTAGATGATAGCACCCACCATCTCAATGCGAACGAAAATTAGGCCAAGAATACAGTTTCATGTCGTTACACCACAAGAGTCGACAGGAAATTCACTTTCCGGCTTTCTGAAAACTTTAGTGCTTCGACACAAAGTATCACCTAATAAATTCTTTTTTATGAGACAAAACTTTTAAAGCTTTGATGTTTATAATCATGACTACAAGAATCACTCTGCCGACACCGAATCATTAATATTTTTGACAAAAAATTAAATAATGTTTGTAATACTTGTAATAATTGTTACGAATTCTCTGAAAGTGGAGATGAAAAGCTTTTAACAACCAAATATTTCGGATTTCCTTACACGTAGCGTAATGTCAAAATATGTGCGAAATTAGCCGGAATCGAGTTCAAGAAGGTTTAGTCTTTCAGCTGACACAGAAGAGCTTTCAGCTAAAGCTGTGGTATAGGCAACCAAATATTTGCTGGCTAAAAAACTCAAAATATTTAAAAAGTCTAGATTGACATGCTTCCGAGAATAAATGCAAGCAAGGAATGACAGCAGTGCAGCAGAAGCTGCATCGACCGCCATCGACGCAAGCCATAAAAATATTTATTGTCTTTAACACTCGATTGAACAAGCGGCAGACGCAGATGTATGAACAATAAAGACATTGTTAAAAAAAAGCAAAACAGATGAAAATAGACCAACATTTTTACTGGTCCGCCTAAGATAGCTGCGGTATTGGTCGAAAATTCGAAATTAGTTACGATAATTAATTGGTCAGCAATAGGTATTACTCGAGTAATAATTCGCAGTAGTACGCTGCCTTTATAGCTGATTCTATTGCCAATGTCTTAAATAAAATTGGTTCCACACCACGTTCCAAACTGCAACGTGAAATGCACTTGTGTATTATTTGCAGGTGTGCCAATCCATAAGCCAGTACAATGAGCAAATCTACTTTTAATTTATCGCTTGGCAATATTTCAAAAATTATGATTTATAATTATGTCTTTCTAGAAGTAAATTGAAGAGAAAATAGCTGACTAGTGACTGCGACAAACCGTGTTTCTCCTAACTACCAATAATCTAAAAAGTCAAGATTAATTGGCTACATTTTTCACAAATCGTCCTATTTGTCACTTAACATCAGTAAATTCGAGGAGTAATCAAAATACTGCCAACATAAAAAACTTACAAGAGTTTTATTAGCGCCGGTGTTATAAATTTATTTTTATGTTTATGTGTGCAAAAAACAGAAAGCTTTTAAAACGATCGCTGTGTAACGTGGAATTCAGACAACAAAAACCACTATTTTCACTACGCTATTAATGCAATAAAGCCGCTAATGTGAAAAGTTCAGCTTACGAAATGAGGAATTTACAATGTCATGATCCACTTTAAACTTACCAAATGTAATAAGATTTCCAATCTGGTGAATTTTTACCACGATCAACTTCGCCGACATCAGAGTCATTAGAAAGAGAGAAGTTTAAACGAGTCAAAAAGTCACGACATTAAACTGAAAAGGAAAAATTAAATGTCTTTCTAAAGTTTGCGAATCCGTGACAGGGAACGGCTCAAGCCGAGGTGATTAAATTAAGACGGTCCTTTTATTCGTTTTAAACCAAAAATGCGCTTTACTCTAAAATATGAAAAAGCGAAAAAACGGTCAGTTATTTATGGAGGAAACGGTAAGTTTTCAGCGACCACCACTGTCTCAATAATTTATTCGAAAATTCTCGTGCAGAAAGCACGACGATATTTATCGCAATTTTTGTAAAGAGAATCCGTAAATCACCACATCTGTTTCCGAGAATAATGTGTGAATATCTTGTAGAAACTTTAAGTTCACACGCAGACGGTCCAAATTTATTTTAAATCTGTTCTTTACTACCCTCACAACATTTCGGGTTGATTTCGGGAATATAGATGAACCAACTCTAACCTAGACCGATAAATCATTGAGCCATTGAGCATTGTGCCCTCAAATCTAATTACTCGTGGAATTACCCACATTTCGAGCTTGAATAGTATCGTAAAAAATTCAAATCCGTCCCTGCAATTGAATATGCCACTTAAAATTTTATTGTTCGTTTTACAGCGAAAATAAAAGATGAACGTCGCATTATAGAATCCAGACGACGACGGAAATCGATCAATTTAGTTGTTTTCATTACGAATTTAAAAATACGAGCCGAATTAAAACTCTCTTGTCTGAGTTATAATTTAATTATCGATAAAAATGTTTCGGCTTTTGCAAATGAATGAAAATTTCGTTTTATAAATCATTACATACCTAGCAAGAAATTTAATATTAAAGCAGGGTGGCATTTTGATTAATTAAGTCGAGGAACAGAGCAGGTGGCACAATAATAACATTTAATAATTAGAACAGTGCTAGAACTGTTTCTAGTCGGAAACACTCCCGGAGTTCATTGAATTTTCAACATGTGCACTCCCATTCATTCCTTTCCTCTTCAAATGTGTCGTAAAATGGAATTATCACATCTGAGCTCCGATTTTTGGTGATGAGTCGATGAGTTTCTAAAGCGAATCCCTTTAATGCTTCATTACGAAACTTTGAAATAATTTCATAATTCAAGGAAAGTTTAATTAGGAATTCTAATATCGTTTGTAATAAAAACTTTCAAAAGTAACACGAGATTAAATAGATTCAAACAAGCATAAATCTGACTGGAAGGTGCAGATAATTGCCAGAACAATTCGCTGGAAAGTAATTAAATCAACCTGGATGAAATGATTACAAAAATGGGATGAGAACAGAGCAAATATGAAGACTTTCAACGTTTCAAATCCGTTGCAACTAAACCCTTTATAAAACTTAATTGCGATGCTACGACCCGAACAGATAGAGAGCCATAAACATGGCCATCCATTGAGAATTTTCTTTAATACACATCAACGAAATAACGTATTTATGATTCAGACTATCCGTTTCGAGTCCAGTTGCAGTAACATTTAGGTTTCAATCGATATGCATCTGTCGTAAATTAGTTTCAACACCTACGGTTCTAAAATTAGTTTAGAATGGGCTAAAAGGCTGCAGGCGCTCGAACATGACAATGCCCTTAGTTCGCCCGCATAACGAGGGATGAAGGTAACAATCTGAATAGAGGATTTCCAGATTCAGCCTCCAGTTACTACCGATGAAAAAACAACTTCAAGGTATCAGATAGACCATCACAAAGAGAAATTGCTCGCCAAATCCCCTCATTGAAGCAGATTTATCTTATTTCCAAATTTGATAGATTACAAGCATCAGGAAAAAGTAAATGTTGACAGTTCCATTTGTTGCTGCATTCGTGATGCAGAACTGAGTTTACAAAATCTTTGGTGGAAAAGATAAAAAAGTGGAATCCGAGACGAGTGTTTCAAGTAATAAACATAGTTTTGAAAGTCAAACACGTGTCAGATAATTTCTGTGAGCTTTGTTACCCCTGTATGCATTTAGGAATACAAAGCTACTAAAACGAATTGCTGCAAATAAACCATGCAGAAATGTACTAAATGGAATTTGTAAACAACCGCATAGATTTGAATGACCACTGTGCATTGAGGATGTCTGATGTTGTTACGTAATTTCCAACAATAACGTGGTCAAGCAACGATGAAACAATAGGGAATTGGTTATAAGATTTTAGAATCATATTTCAAAAACGTAAAATGAATTTTCTTCTGAAAATTTAAATTACATACAACGTAACCAAATACAAATTAACTTATGAAATAAATAACCTTAATTTGAAGTCAAGAAATTTGAATGCAAACACTTGAATGAAATAAATGTGTTCTTTTACCTGAATTTGAGTTTTCTTCTAATCCGATAACGAATCGCTCGCAGTTCCCTAACTTGTACCAAACTTGGAAAGCAAAGAAAATCCAAGAAGTTCTTGAATTAGCCAAAAAGTAGTATCACGTCCTAGATTCCACGAATCGCTAAT